CGGCGCCCGATTCTTCACCAAGCTGGACCTGCGCTCAGGCTACCACCAGGTCCGCATGCACCCCGACGACATCGCCAAGACGGCGTTCCACACACATGACGGCCTCTACGAGTTCCTTGTGATGCCGTTCGGGTTGTGCAATGCCCCAGCGACGTTCCAGGCGCTCATGAACGACATTCTGCGCGTCTTCCTCCGTCGGTTCGTCCTTGTGTTTTTCGATGACATCCTCATCTACAGCTCCACATGGGCGGACCACTTGCGCCATCTGCGAGCCGTCCTCCTCGTCCTGCGACAGCACCGCCTTTTCGTCAAGCGCTCTAAGTGCGCTTTCGACGTCGACTCCATCTCCTACTTGGGCCACATCATCAGCGTGGCCGGCGTCGCCATGGATCCCGCCAAGGTGCAGGCCGTCTTGGATTGGCCGCAGCCGCATTCAGCACGTGCAGTCCGCGGATTCCTCGGTCTCGCGGGCTACTACCGTAAATTCGTCCACGACTACGGCCTCATCGCCGCGCCCCTCACGGCGCTCACCAAGAAAGACGGGTTCAGCTGGTCTGAGGAGGCCGCCGCTGCGTTCCAAGCTCTCAAGCAGGCCGTCACCTCCGCCCCCGTACTCGCCCTCCCGGACTTCGACAAGCCGTTCATCGTCGAGTGCGACGCATCCACGTACGGGTTCGGCGCCGTGCTCCTGCAGGACAAGCACCCGCTGGCTTTCTTCAGCCGGCCTGTGGCGCCTCACCATCGCGCCCTCGCCGCCTACGAGCGGGAGTTGATCGGCCTCGTTCTCGCCATTCGCCACTGGAGGCCGTACCTTTGGGGGCGCCGCTTTGTGGTGCGCACCGACCACTTCAGCCTCAAGTACCTGCTCGACCAACGCCTGGTGACCATGCCGCAACACCACTGGGTGGGCAAGCTCCTCGGTTTCGACTTCGCCGTCGAGTACAAGCCGGGCGTCTCCAACACGGTGGCCGACGCTCTATCCCGCCGCGACACCGAGGACAGTGCGGTGTTGGCTGTCTCCGCTCCCCGCTTTGACTACATCAGTCGCCTGCGCCAAGCCCAGTTCACGGACCCCGCGCTCATGGCCATCCGCGATGCGATCCTGGCGGGCTCACGGGGCGCGCCGTGGGGACTGTGTGACGGCTTGGTCACGTTCGGCTCCAGGCTCTACATTCCGCCGTCATCCTCGCTCCTACAGGAGGTGCTCGCTGCCGTACACGAGGACGGCCACGAGGGTGTGCAGCGCACGCTGCATCGGCTTCGTCGCGACTTTCACTTTCCCAACATGCGTCGCCTGGTGCAGGACTTCATCAGTGCCTGTGACACGTGCCAGCGGTACAAGTCCGAGCACCTCCACCCTGCCGGACTCCTTTTGCCACTACCGGTGCCCACGGCAATCTGGAGCGACCTCGGCTTGGACTTCGTGGAAGCCCTGCCCCATGTGGGAGGGAAGTCGGTGATCCTGACGGTGGTGGACCGCTTTAGCAAATATTGCCATTTCATCCCGTTAGCTCACCCCTACACTGCAGAATCCATCGCGCAGGCGTTCTTCAGGGAGATTGTGCGTCTCCATGGTGTTCCCCAGTCCTTGGTCTCCGACCGGGATGTCGTCTTCACCTCCACATTCTGGAGGGAACTAATGAGGCTCCTGGGCACCAAGTTGCACATGACGACTGCCTTCCATCCGCAGTCTGATGGCCAAACCGAGGCGGCTAATCGTGTCATCGTCATGTACCTTCGTTGCTTCACCGGCGATCGTCCCCGCCAATGGATCCGCTGGCTCCCGTGGGCGGAGTACGTCTACAACACCGCCTACCAGACGTCGTTGCGGGACACGCCCTTCAGGGTGGTCTACGGCCGCGACCCTCCTACTATCCGGTCTTATGAACCGGGTGAGACCCGTGTGGCGGCCGTCGCACGTAACATGGCGGACAGGGACGAGTTCTTGGCCGATGTTCGCTACCGCCTGGAGCAGGCGCAGTCCGTCCACAAGAAGTACTACGACAAGCGGCACCGTCCAGTCGCTTATGCCGTCGGCGACCTTGTGCTTCTTCGACTCCGCCATCGCGCACCAGCCTCCCTGCCTCAGGTCAGCAAGGGCAAACTGAAGCCCCGCTTCTATGGGCCGTACCGCGTCGCCGAGATCATCAACCCCGTCGCGGTCCGTCTCGAGCTGCCCCCGCGAGCCAAGCTGCATGATGTGTTCCATGTGGGCCTCCTCAAGAAATTCGTCGGGCCGGTGCCGGCTGCTCCACCTGCCTTGCCTGACATCCACCATGGCGCCGTGCAACCTGAACCAGAGCTCGTCGTGCGCTCACGCCTCGCCCGCGGCGCTCACCAAGTGCTCGTCCAGTGGAAAGGAGAACCAGCGGCTTCAGCAACGTGGGAGGACATCGGCTCCTTTCGCGAGCGGTACCCGGCGTTCCAGCTCGAGGACGATCTGGCTCTCGAGGGGCGGAGAGATGTCATGTGGAGCCTGACATACTCTAGGCGCCGGCATGCTAGGGACGTGCGGCGAGCAGCCGAACGCGCAGAACGCGCGCGCACGCCAGACGTCCAGGCCGGACCAGCTAGCAGTGGCTGAGAGGAAGCAGAGGATTAGTTGCAATTTCTATTCATTAGGAAGCAGAGGATTAGTTGCTATTTCTATTCAGTAGTTACTATTTTTATTCCTAAATTGTAGGGGCGCATGGCGCTGGTTGGTTTGGGCCTCAGGCCATTTAAATTGTACTCGGTGACAGCTGAGAGGGGGAAGGAAAAGTATTACCCCTAATCTCTTTCTCTCATCTAAACCAAGCCTGCGGCGGAGGGGAAAACCTCACCGGAGAAGACGGATCGCGGCTACGAACTACGTAGCCGAGGCCCAGCTACCCAGGGACCCGAGGTCCTTGACAGCTAATACGGGCACCTATTTTTGAGTTAAGAAATGTGGAAGGCAAGACACATGATCGTGCATTTGATGACTCGCAACGCATACAGCTTTAGATTTAGGGGCCAGGTCATGACATGAGTGGTATAACGTCAATAAAAGGTTTTTGCAGCTCTGTACAGTAATCGATGTTTACTGGAGAAGAATATAGATTCTATTTCTGTTGGGCTTCAGACTCCCGTTGTAAATCTAATATTTGGCATCCGTTGGAGTGAGAAGGGTGTGAGGGATTATAGTCTGATGAGGAATGTAATAAGAGATATATGAGAGTATGGGATGGATGCACGGGGGAGAGGGGACAAAAGAAATTTGTTGCTTTTTATATCATTATAGATATGGGCAACTTTGCAGATTTCCTTCAGTTCTTAAACTGTTATTCGGTTGTCGAGGAAGAGCTGACTACGGCATATACTATGAAAAACAAAATCATCACCTCTCTCCAAATCTCTTTCCTGATGTTTCCCTCTATTGAGCTATTTTCGTTAGTCTTTTTTGCGATTTATTTTCGTTAGTCTACAGAGCAATCATGCACTGCATCTATTCTCATCTGTACTTCTGGCACCTGTGCCATCCGTTCCCTGAGAACCTATTCTCGAGCCCACTTTTCACTTAGGCCTCAACAAAAAAAAGGGAAAAGTTCTTGACCTTAGGGTGTCCAAAATATGGTAAAAAAATGATGATGAGCACAAGTTGATCTTGTCGTGCCATCATGGACCCATGTAAATGGATCATGAATAAATTTTTTTTATAATATCGAATTGATCGGTCAAAATTTTCTTTATTTCTTAGAAAAAGGATAATATTCCTCTATTATATGAATGGATTTGTTTACACACGTGTGCAAGTCTACCGGTGCATCTCCAAGAGACTCTTTATATCTTCCCCGATTTACCGGAATAGAGATTTTGGTGGAAAATATCCTCCAACATCCTTTTCAATTGGATATCCAAATATAGATATCCTCTATTCCGTATTTTTACTAGCCAAAGATAGAGAGCGAGGATGGCTCTCTAGACTGCGCATAAGATATAGAAAAGTTGTTGAAGGATACAAAGATATAGAAAATATTTTTTTACTCAAATGACTCTCCAAATGATGATTTAAAGAGTATACTTTAGAAAGGCTCTTGAAGATGCTCTAAAGGCAATTTGTATTTAACAAGTTATCTTTTGTGCAGCTCCAACAATTTCAGAGCATCTCCAAGAGTCTTTCCAAAATTTACTTTATAAATTATCATTTGGAGAGTCATTTGAGTAAAAATAGTTTTCTATATCTTTGTACACTTCGATAGTTTTCTAAATCTTGTGGGAACTTTTTTTGTAACAGTATCTTGTGCGTACTTTAGAGAGTCATCCTCGCTCTCTATCTTTGACAAGTGAGAAATACAGAATACAATATGTATATTTGGAGATCTAATTAAAAAGGTGGCTGAAGAGTATTTTTGACCAAAATCTATATCTCTTTGAATTAGAAAGGATATAAAGGGTCTCTCAGAGATTGCTCTAGTATCATGTGTTTCGGTAAGAGCTGACATTATAAAGATAAATTCGTGGTCTATGTACATAGATTTGTAGTGCTTATTTGGCTTTTGGTAGCAGTAGTAGATAGTGCCGAAGATAAGTCTATGAAGAGGGATTTTTCCTCTGAGGGTACTAAGATCATTTTTCATGAGCTGTAAAAAGGCTCATAAAACTATTTGGGCTTTGAGACTTCTTGTCTTAATTATGTAGCTTGATTTTGGCGTCCCTAGTTTCTTTTTGTGCTTCTGCGTGGATGTGTCCTTTTGTACCGACAACAGGACGCGGCGCGGCCTGATGTGCGAGAAACAAAGCAGCAGCTTCGGTGCATTTTGAGGATTAACTAAAAAACATTGCAGTGCAACGACTAGATCATTGAACTGCAAATCAAGTATCTTCTTGCTTGCAGCTCCGATACAAATCGTTGGAGAAGAAAGCTAAAAGACAGTACAGTGCAACAGGCGTTTCTCGATCGCGGTTCTGATTCGGATTATCAGATAGCCGGAGATCACAGAACCTTCCCTGACAATCTGATAGAGAGTTGCTTCGATCGGTCAGCACGACCAGCAGAAGGGATTGTGCGCCTTGAGGTCTTCCACGACGCTGGCGATGGACCCCGCCGCGGCAGCAACGGACACAACAAGGCACCCGGCGCTGAGCCCCTGCAAGAGCATCCACCGCCTGCTCCCCCGCGGCACCCGGCGCTGCGCTATGTACATCTCCACGGGGAAGTAGACGGTGAGCGGCCAGAACCCCAGCGCGCCGATGAGTCCCACGACGGAGCCGAAGAAGGGCAGCAGCATGGCCACGGCCGTGGTGACGCACACGTACGCCGTGCGCCACGCGAGCCGGATGGGGCTCACGGTGAACGCCATGGCTCCCCCCACCCTGACGTCCCTAGCGCGGACCAGCGCGCTGCCAGGCCACGCCACGGCGGCGCAACGCTTGACGTAGGCGAAGACGGACTGCGACATGACCTGGTAGGTGCCCACCAGGTGCACCACCACGAAGGCGTTCGCCACGTCCAGCAGCCAGAAGGGCTCGTAGAAGCCGAACCCACTACTACAGAATGTTACTGTAGGGGCGGCTCTAGAGCCTCTATAGGGGCGGCTGCGCCAGCCACCCTTCCCAGGGTGTTCCTACAGAGAGTGTCTCTGTAGGGGCGGTTTTCTAACCGCCCCTGCAGTTCCTTCTGTAGGGGCGGCTGGTGTTTTCAGCCGCCTCTACAGTTTTCTCTGTAAGGGCGGCTGGTAATAGCAGCCGTCCCTGTAGTGGACTTATGTAAGGACGGCTGTATCACCAGCCGCACCTGCTGTGTGTATTTGTAAGGGCGGTTCAATCAAGAACCGCACTACAGTGGATTTTCTAGCAAAAAAAATAAATAATTCAAATTCAAATCTGACCACATATATATATATATATATATAATTCAAATTCGAATCTAACCGCCACAAATATACATATATACATCCACAAACACAAGACCATCATCACAAATCATAATTCACAAAAGTCCATCATTACAACATAGTCCATTATGAAGTCCATCATTATAACATAGTCCATTAAGATATCCACAAGTCCACATGCAAAATAAAGTCCAAACCGTTCCAAAGTCTGATCCAAATCATACCACAAGTCCACATTGTCATCAACGGCCTAGGGCTAACGTATCAGTCTCCCGAAAATGTTGGTACAGAGGATTACTACCTAAGTCGAAAAAAAGATGATGGTAAGTGCCTTTATGATACACAATCTGGTCTATTATAAAATTGCAAAGGTCGTCGACCATCTCTAAGAGCTCATCATCCTTGTATGGGTTCCTTCTCGTGTCTTTATCTTTCTCCAACTACAAGAGAACAAGTTTAAGTTTACTATATCACAACATATGCGAACTTTTCATACTACGAGCGAAGAGGTTCAAACTTACCAGATTGGGGTTTCTGTTGTAGCCACCGATGATACTCATCATAATACATGTGTAGTATCCACAATGTAGACTCTCAGGCTTCTGCTTGGGGCACTGTGTGTTTTGCATATGGAGATGTTAAGTAATGCTATTGACAGACACGTAATATATGGAGTACCAAAGTAAATGACACTTACCGCACATAGAGTTTTGACATACAACTTTTCTTTCCTATTTGGATGATGCCTCCCCTTATGTTCCTGGACATAGTGCCTGAATGCCTTTTTCCAATGGTTTTAGCAAATGCAACTTGTTAGTATCCCACATTGAACCTTACATGTATACAAACATAGTAGCTAAAATGAGGATTGTCAATATGTATACTTCTTGACAATCGTTATGAAGTCTTTGTATGTCTCGACTGGGAAATCCGCTGAATCAAAGACCCATGCCATGCTATGTGAGAGCCAGACGCCTATGCAAATCCAGTGATCGCTACATGAATTTAGTCATAGAAGGAACACATAAGCTCTTTTGCATCGAACAAAGTAATTTGAACAAAGCTAAGTATACAGTCGAACTTACTTAAAGTGGTATGGTATCCATATATTATCGTGTTGTTGGAGATTTTTAAAACATAGGGCAATGTATGCCGCAACCTTGAGGGACTCTTCCAATATTTTCTTGTTCCTGATGTCCTCTTTCTTCTTAAGTGTCTTTCCAGCTCCTAGTTCTTTGCAATCTAGTTTCGACTCTTTAGGGTAATTAAAATTTGTTGATGCTATAGGTGAAGGGTCTATATACCCGTGTTTCAGAGCTGGCCTCTTTTTCACAAAGTCCGCTTGTATTCTACAAATCACGGCGCAGGTTAGTTACAACAAAATTAAAAGATTACATTCATATCATATCGAGAGGGCAAGGACTTACAGGCACCATATGCGAATCAGATTCATTTCCATTCGTCTGAGGTGGAAGCATGCCTGGATATCCTTAAACTCAATGGCAATTTGCCCACCTGGGGCTCCAAATGTGCCGGCAGGGATCCATGCCTGTAAGATTTCTAGTTCTGTTATCTGAGCACGCAAGTACCAATCGTGGAACTTTCTCATTCCACGTGGCAAGCACTGTATGACTCGGTTTGGTAGGAAGTTCTTGCCTTTTTCATATTTATCCGGGCAATCATCTGACCATTTGAGGTTATCAACAGCTGGATACTTGTTAAACCCTTTGTGCAGTTTGCTAGTGGTGCCCTCCTCAGTGGTGCCCTCCTTAGAAGCTGGTGCTCTGAATTCTTTTACTTGGTTCTTAGGCTTGAACTGGTCATGAGCCATCCACTTGTGCACCGATGAGACGTCATTAATGCCCACATACGATGGCCTTATCTTGATTGGGATTTTGTTTCGAGCTTCCCATTCGGGCATGTCCTTGTCAACTTGTGCATCACCTGCTCCAGGGGCCACTTGTTCTTCATGTATCGGCTATTCACGAGGCAATTGTTGTTCATGAGACACTTGTTGTTCATGTATCGGCTGCGCTTGTTGATAAGAATGTTGCATCTCATCATGCCTTTGCTCGGTATGAGCTGGAGAAGGACATGGCATGTCATCATGCCCATGCTCGATACGAGGTGGAGAAGGATGTGGCATGTCATCATGCCCTTGCTCGGTACGAGGTGGAGAAGTCTCTAGCGTGTGGTGGTCATGGTCATGGGCCGGTGAGTATACCTCCCCGTCCTCGATGGGTCGCTCCCGAGGATGAACTTCAGTCGGAGTTGGCGAAGACTCGGTCAATACAATGTCCCGTCTATGCCAGAGGATGAACTGGTTCATGACGTCTCCGAGTAACACGAGCCCCTCGGGAGTAGGGTGTTCTATCTTCCAAGTCATGAACTCAGGCTTCACGGTATGCACCTTGACCCGAGTGTAGTCCTGCGGGATGTCCCTATTGTGCCACGTGCCGCCCGGAGGATGTGCCATGCCCGTTGCCACCTCAATGATCACGTTTTGCCTACCCATCGGAACCACCAATTTACAACTAGTTGGCGCCCGTATGCGATCGACGGGGGTTCCGGTTGCATTGGAACCTTGACTGCTAAGAACATCCGAAGGGCTGCCAACTACCACCAATTCTCTGGGCGGCCCCATTGGTGTCTGTGGCTCCATCGTAGATAGTCCTTTCTCCACCAACATCTTTTCAACTAGAGCCTTCACTTGGCGCTCAAGATTAGACTCTCGGTCTCTGCCATGTTTCTTGTACATGTGCCTCTCCTCTATGAATCCGTGCTTCCAGGACATCCTCTTCCCTAGCCCCCTGGTGCGTCCAGTGTGCTCGGGGTTTCCCAAGGCAATGGTAAGCTCGTCCCTCTCTCTGGAAGGGTTGAATGCGCCCTTCTCCTTGTCTTCAACAAGTTTCAATATTTTTGATACTACCTCTCCGGTCTCCGGCTTAGCAAACTTGAGGCTACTACCGGATGAATCGACACTCCTCGCGTATATCCACTGTTTAAGGCGTGGCTTCAACTTTGGCACTTCCGTATTCCCGGTAGCTTCGGCCTCTGCGTCCATCTTCCTAAAGACCTCTTGCTTGCCAGCGTAGCCACCGGGGCCTAGACGAGGGTAGTGTTGGTTCTTCTTCGCCTGCTCGCTGTTACGGGCACTGAGGGACAATGATGCCTCTGAAGTCTTCTCAGCCATAAGCTCCTCCCATTGACTAGGAGTTATGTTGCCATACTCGTGGAAAGGAGTTAACTTCTGTTGGATAAAGTTCTTGTTCAGATCTGACCGCCAACGTCGGAAGCTCTACCCCATTATCTTAAAAGCATTTTGTTGTACCAACTCGTGCGTTCCCTCCGGAAACCTGAAGTTCTGCTTCAGCTTCTCCCATAGGTCTACCTTTTGGCTCATATGTACAAGATTCCAGCTACGGATAGCTGGGTTCAACTTATCTCTAACTACAAACCCGATGTGATTATGGAATTTCGCCCTATATGTATATGGCTCAAGGATCTGCCCGTCTGGTCCGACCTCCGTTATCACATAGCATGCCTTATCGTGATATTGGTTTGGCTTTCTAATCCCCCCTCGTTTCCTCTTTGGCTGGGCAGTCTCAGTTGTGGTTGTGTCCTGAGGCTGTGGAGCGGAGGCCTCATTGTGAGTACCTATGGCTCCTTCCTCTGATCTCCTTTGCCCCGCTACGTATTGTTCGGCAAGATGAGCCGGAGGCCGACGTCGTCTTTTCAGAGGTTGAGTAGGGACGACCTGTGTATCCGACAGGTCAAAAGTGTTAGCAGAGGTAACATAAAGCCATAGCATTAGCCAAATTTACAAGCTACTAAGGCTTTATCCGTACCTCGTCGTTCGGATCAAAATCCTTGTCCAACTCGTCCTCCGTTGGCCTCCGTCTGAGTTCTTGTGGGAAAGGATCCTTGGGACTTACATATCCCCCTGATGAGGTGTTGTCATCATCATCTCCTTCTTCGCCTTGGGCATCCTCTCCGCCTTCTCTTCCCTGGGCTCCCCCCACTGGATCATCATCATCGACAAGGTCCTCCTGAGTAAGCATCACTTCTAGACCCTTTTCTAACTCGTTATCGAACTGCTCTTGAGTAAGCTGGTCATCTAGTTCTTGCTATCCACGGGATGGCTGCTCATCATTCACGGGGCATCGGGATGCACTCTTTGATGTTCGCGACATTTCGTGCCTTGTTCTAAGATATGCAAGAAAAAAAGTAGTATAAGTAGTAGAAATAGTAGTACTAGTGGTAGAAGTAGTAGTACTAGTAGTACAAGTAGTAGTACTAGTACTACTAGTAGTAGTACTTGTAGTAGTACTGGTAGTAGTAGTACTTGTAGTAGTAGTAGTATTATTATTATTTGTAGTAGTAGTAGTCAACATCTCAAGGTGGAAAAAAAAATGTCAACATCTCCGTACATTGTCTGATAGTATTGCTAGTAACCATATTATAATTTAGAACCCCCCTAAGCGCGTATTCAGATGACTATGAAGCGGCACTTGGACGACAAGAGGAATGTCAATATATATTTATGAAATGCAGAAATTGTACTT